TATTTCTTCATTGTCTAGGTTGAACTTGTGAAGGCATGAAACATCCCTTTAATATTATATTAATATCAGAAAGGAAGGGGTGCATGGAGGGTATCCTTGTGGGGTAAGGTATGGCTCAGCGGCTAAAGGGTTGCTTCCTTGCAGTCACCATAGGCTGACCATACGCACCATTTTAAATAGGACAGTACTGCTTTTTTCCCTATTTCCAGACCATCCCATCGTTTTAATATAAAATGCCAATTTCATCCTGTTTTCAAGAAAAATGCCCTGTTACATTGCAAAAATGGTTTGAAGATTCCTGTTCGAAATTGTGGTGGTCATTTGCAAGGGGTCAAGCATTCATTGGCAAAAAGTGAAGTGTGTTCCAACCATACATTAGTTTCATTGAAAAAGATAATATTTCTGCTACCGAAGTATCCATCCACAATGAAAATCTTGTAAACCATTTAGAGCCCAGAAAAAAGTGAAGTATTTGTAACTACTAAAGCAACCATTGTGTCTTGGAGTGGGAAAAGCTTTATGGTAAGGTGTTGAAAGACCAACATTTGCTGCAGAAGATGACTTCCTTGGAGAAATATTCATGGTATGGTCATGGTGAAATCCAGTCCCGCGCTACATCTTCCTGAATTTTTGTATGAGTTCTGTCACTGAGGAATAATTGTTAGCTCAATACGTTCATGTCATAAGACTTTTGTTATCATCTTCCTCTTTCATGGGTATGCAATATGACATAACCCCATCCCGTTTTTGCCATCCCAATGTCCCGTTTTTGTCTTGGGGAAATGTGCTCAGCCTAAGTGACCATCAATGGAAAAGGTGAGCATCTCCTTCTTTGCCCACTGAGCCTCGGAGCCCATGGACTCCTCTGCTCTTCTGCCTCCTTTCCCTACCTGGCCAGCAGCCCTTCCAGACCCAGAAGAGGCTGCCAGGTGGATGGGAAAGGGAGGCAGAGGAAGAGAAGCATGGAGTTGATGATAGCCCATCTCCTTGAGCTCTCCGGAGCCCCAAAGAAGCAGGCAATCGCAGAAGAAGGCAGTGATGGCAGAAACATGGACTTGCTCTCACTGTTGCTGATAGAGCCATCTCTTTGGGAGTCACCAGAGCCCAAAGAGATGGTCAGGGTCAGTATCTTTTGTTGGGTGGGTTGGTTGTTAGAAGCATAACATCATGGAATCATAGAGTTGAAAGAGACCACAAGGACCATCCAATCCAACCCTATTCTGCCATGCAGGAACTCAAATCAACTCTTGCTGTTGTTGTTGTGTGCCTTCAAATCATTCCCAACTTATGGTGACCCTAAAGCAAACCCATCATGGGGCTTTCGTGGCACCATACGGGTCACCATAAGTCAATGTCAACTGAAAGACACGTAACAACAACGCTATAAGTGAGTGAATTAGGAATAAAAACATACAGCTAGCTCAGTCCATGCTTTGGCTCTTCCTTGTTGTTGTTGTTGTTGTGTGCCTTCGAGTTGTTTCTGACTTATAGCGACCCTATCACAGGGTATTCATTCTTGGCAATATTAATTCGGAGGAGGTTTGCCATTGCTTTTCCCTGAGGATGAGAGCATGTGACCTGCCCAAGGTCACCCAATGGATTTCATGGCCAAGTTGTAGACCAATACTAAATGAGGGAGTGTTAAAAAAAAATCAT